AGTGAATGTATTCGTGTTTTGAGAAAATGTGCCCAAAAACTGACGGTCCTAGAAAAGGTATAGTATGCAACACGTTCGGTAAACTTTTTAACTCACTCGTTTATTAAAAACTCGTGAATCAAATGCCGTTTACCGCACTTGTTGCATAATATACTATTTTAGCAACCCTAGCATAGAAATACTCATGATATGGCAGCCGTGCTGGATCGCTGATGAACAACTTAAACTAGTATATACACCCGCCAGTCTTCGGAATTAGTTCAGTTTGGTATACACTTGATAACAGCCATGGCTAAATCTGTCGCAAACTTTGTGGTATTAAGTCAAATAAAGACGATAAATGTTCCAAGTTCATTTAGTTTCAAGTTGCCATTGTAAACTCGTTTCATAGAACTCTTGACTGATATTGCGTTAAATTCATTATCCTGTGGCCACCAAAATGTTTTGCTTTCTTGGTCATCCTTTCAAACCCGTCAGATTTGCACACAGTCACACACAGCCGCGTTTCACATATTACTTTGACGGCGTCGGTGGGAGGAGCACATCGTATAGCCCCGGTAGGCCATATTTCACATTCGCAGCACAATGATTCAATTTATCATTTGCGTACGCATATCCGCCCTGTTTTGCTTTTTTTTGTCTTTTCGAATTTATTCCCGTGCAATAAATAATAGTCGCAACGAGCGGCCGCATTTGTAACGAGGATTGACGATGAAAAAATGAAGCGATTTGTACGCAACCCCATCTGGTCGTGTGATGGATGATGGTCCGATAATATAGCGCCAACCTAGGCTCGCCGAGGTGGAGCTATGGACACAGTAAATTACTAGTTTAATCAGTTGCAAATCTTAAAATGTTGCCTTTTCAATTGCTTATTGTTATTAATTTAATAAGCGTTAATCGGTCAACAATTGTTTTCCTTACCTTACCTTCTCCTTTAATCTTGAAGAATGTGTCCAATCTGGTACTGCTATCGACAGTGAAAAGAAGATTGACGTCTATTTAACGTCCACTTAAAAATCTTGTATTCTCTATCATATATTGTTTCTCTATCTTTGAGTAAATGTGGCAAGATTTGCTTAGTTTTGGTTGGTTTTTGTTACTCTTCTTTAAATCTTTTTTGTTCTACCATTTTTGACCACTGCAGCTATATCAACTACTCATTTCAGATCTCATTGTCCAGATAGCACTACCAACAGCTCTGCACTGGCATGGTCGCCCTGCGAGTCATTTTAGATGTCAAACTTATATTCATTTAACTTTAGCCGCCATCTATTGGTCCATTTCTATCTCTTGATATCCTATGGGTGCCAAAATTTGTCCATTATCTTTTGTAAATAGCACCTTGCACTCATCAATCGGTAGTTGATTGTAATGTCTCCCTTCGTGGACTCTAGCGTGGCGATGCTCACTGTTTAGTTTAATTTCACATAGTGAAAACATACTTACTTAATTTTGTTGCTTCGCCTGGTCTATATTTTTTGAAATTATAATTCCATCGACTCGTTTTCCTGTAAATAAATACGGAGCAATCAGCTCATTACAAAGTATTAAAAGTTTTTTCTTCTACGGTAACCTTAAAATGTTTATTTCTAAATGCAGAAGTTTGCCGTCGGTAATGGAAAACTAATAGACTCTGTCACAATGGCCTTTAAGTACATACGTTCGAGTTGATAGATAAGTTTAACTACTTTCGAACTTTCAATAAACATATTTTCCGTGGCTGTTCGAATTAAGGGTGGCGATAATTGCGGTAATGTCCGGCTGTAGGACGTAATCGCCATGCATCGAAATAAAACCAGAAATCGCCACAAATCGATCAATTTTTCGCCTTAACTAGGCCGTTATTAAAATTGACTAACTTCTATTAACAGAAAGTAGATTTTTACGTAAACACCATTAACGCTAATGGCGAAATGATGAATTAATAATGTTCGATTAGGCAAATTAAGAATTTCTGTATAAGTCGATCTTTCAAATTTATTAAATTTAATAAATAATATTCTACTTTATTGTATTTTGACAGTTTCAAGCCTCTTACGAGTTTTGAATTGGTTTTAGCAAAGTAACAAAGTAACAAAGTAAATCTGCAGCGCTCCCGCTACATTAAAATTACACCACTGGTTTGGCGGTAAAATATGTTTTACAGTAGTGGGATATGAAGAATTAGAAAAATTAGTTTAGTTAGTAGTCAGTGGGCTTGTAATATTTCTCAGAAACAGTGTTTGAAGAAAAATCATAGTCGGGTGTTTTTCCAGAACATTTGATCAGAAGCTATTGACGAGTGCTGACATAAGAAATTTGGTTTGATCGTTTCTATTTCATTTTTACTAAATGGCTTATATCCAATTAAAAAATTTTACAAAAAAGATCTCTAGAAGTTTTTGAATTGTATCATCAGCAATATGTAACATTTGGCTTCCATTTCTTAAATGGTGTATTGATTGTACTGAAATCTGTAATAAGAAACAACCCTGTAGCAAAAGTCGTTCTATTTGACCAAAAAAAAAATAAATAAATAAAAGATATGTAACATACTTCACTTTCTCAAAATAGAGATTTTTTTTAATTCGTATTTCGTGAATATAGTAATAATAATAATATTATAATAATGTTTCCTGAAAATTAATATTATTATTAATGTTATTTTAATATTTAAATAAATCAATCTAAACAATATTTTTTATTGGTCCTTATACAGAAGATAACCACTACATCATAATATGAAATTGCTTAACTTATATAACATGTAACATAACACTTGTAGAATCAAAACAGGAAGCCTTCAACTATACCACCTTGGCCCCCTCCTCTTTGCACTCGTAGTATACGATATGAAGCACTGTTTCCGATACAAGTTCTCATGGTTTGCTGATGATGTTACAGCTAAGATGATTAAAACTATTTTTAATTGGTGGAAACTACAATCAGATTTGATTAGTTTTACGAAATACTATGAAAGAAACAAATTAATTATTGTTGCTTCTTAAATAATGTATTTCTTGAACACGTCTTTTGTCGAGGATCTCGTGGTAATGTTTGACTCCAAATTATTGTTTGAGAAACACATTAAAACAATAGTCAACAACTCTTAACGTAACAATGCGAGTTTCTGAAATTTCAATAATTCTAAATCTATGATTTCATTATATAACCACAAATGTCAGCTCAAACTTAGAATACCCGTGTTTGGTATGGAACCTAATGTATTTCAACCACATAAACAGTATAGAAAACATCCTAAACATTTTTTAACGTTATTTTGTGTTCGACCCACACATTCTATTTATACACAGACCATTCTCTAATAAAATTGCACGTTTTCAAATAATTGAAGAAACTCAAATTTATTATGTTTCGAGTTTTTTTATACCAATTACGCAATTACCCTCCAATAACTCAAATGCAATAACTAATTAGTGAAATAGATATAGATCTTAATTTTACTAAAAAACTAGCTATTGTTGTTGTTTTATGACTCCATCTATAGTTTTAGTTAGTTTAATCAATCACATAATAATTAATCATACTTTGATTTCCTGTTCTTTTTATTTTCTTGTTTGGTTAATTAGTTTATTACATTTACATGTAAATCTTTGTCTAATGATTATCTAGGGAGAGCATTAGAAAACTTATGTGTACGCTGTACACTTTAATGTTTTATCTTGAATAAATAAATAAATAAGTTATTGTTATGGTGGCTTCTTCAGTTTGAAGGGGGCGGAGCTAAATGAGCGTCATAAACATCGTCTCGGATGACTGATTCCCATATTGGTGAAAGGTAAAGACCTGAGTCCGGGTTAAGATTGTATAGTTGCTTATAGACTTCGTTGGTAGAAGAATTGATTACATGCAAGGATTTTAGTTTTATCGAATAAAATTTTGAACCTTTGAGCAGAAAGCGCTCGGCACCTTCCATTTAAAACCAAAATTATAGAAACGCTACGTCGATGACTCTTTTGTTATTAGGCCTCATGGTTAAGAATGCCTACTAGATTTTCTTAGACATCTAAGCTCTATACGCACTAAAATTGAATTAGAAACTAATAACAACCTTCCATTTTCCGATATTCCTTTAAATAGAAAATCAGACATAACATTGAGTCATTTTGTATACAGAAAACCTACTCACACAGACCGATACCTTAATGCATCGTCACATCACCATCCGACCCCCCCTTAAATCGTCGGTTATCAACTCTCTTGCTTACAAAGCCGTAAACCTATCTCAACCCGAGTCACTGAACTCTGAATTAAAACACCTTGCCTCTGCTCTTCTCTCTAATAATTTCCACATTAAAGATATTAAGCGTTCCATCACAAAATACACTTTACCACAACCTTCCAATACCAACAAAACAAACAAAGACAAAATTTCATTTGAAATGCCGGGAGTTTACAGTATTCCATGCATATGCGGCAAAGAATACATTGGAAAGACCGGACGAAAAATATCCACTAGGCACAAAGAACACGAAAGAGCCTTAAGACTAAGACTAAGAAATATTATTCGATAAATCTAAAAAAAAAATTTGCATGTAATTAATTCTTCTCCAACCAACCGCGACTCAGGTCTCTACCTGTCACCAATATGGAAATCAGTCACCCGAGACGGTGTTTATGCCCGCCCCTCGTTTAGCTCCACCCCCCTCAAACAATAAATCAGCAGGTACAGCGTAAAATGCGAGGCAGTTTCAGTTAAACTCTGGAGAGGCCAACAGGATGATTGGCGAAACGTTAGCAAGTTCGATTTAACAATAACCGACACAGGAGGAATCCGGAAATTATGTTAATAGTATTACAGTAGTCTGTGGAAATTTCTTTGAAAAAAAAAATGGATAAACAGAAATTCATATTTTGGCGGTAAAATGTAGTTGACACTCAAATCACGTTGCCAGCACAGTAGGAGCAATTTTTATCTATGGCAATAATAGCAAAAAAAATTGAACTTTGACAACGACTTTTTGACGCATAATAAATTTTCCCAAAACTTGTTTCAGATAACGACTTGGTGGAACATATCGCACCGACCATATCAGACGCGAAGATGTCCCATCGTCCGCGGTAACGAACGCATCTGCATATCAGGAAACGAACCATATCTACAAAATGTTGATTAGAAAACGCTGATATCTCGACGTCAGCGATAACGCTAATTCCGAAATCTCGCGGTAGTTAGTCGATTGTGGCGCGTAGACGGTGTGATCGCGTTTTCAGTATGCGCTAGAGAAGAGAAAAGTGTGTAAACATTCTTCGAACGATAATGGGCGTGCTGTGGCGGAAAAGGTCTCTACTATTGAAGCTGGTGGTGGTGATCGGAACGGCATGGTTCACGATAGCGGTGTTGCTGTTTAGGGATTCCACCCAGGAGGTGAGGAGGAGAATTGCGGTGCCGCTAGAACAGCAACAGTTTGGGGTTAGTATTTGGTGACGCGTGGTTTTCTTAATCCGGCGATTAACGAACGATTAAATTCAACTGTCGCGTGGCGATAAGATCCTTTTATCGGCTTTACTATTTTGGTAACGTTAAGTCCTCCTATACGGCATTTTTTTGGCCTAAAATTAATTTCCTAATATAATGTCCACTCGTATAGCTATAATAGGGTCCATAGAGTCTATGGCGACACAAGAAATCAATATCTGAAAGTTAATCAGGCAGGGATTCTTCCTAATATTTATTCGGAGCTTTAATATCAAGAAGAACTGGAAAATGCAGACGACACCGCTCTGATAGCTAGACTGCCTGGAAGACCTTCAGACACTGATTGATAAAGTGGCAACAACAAGTAAACAAAAAAGATAGAAGAAACTATTAAATAGACCAAACTGGAATTCTTGGTCACCTCATGCTTCATGCAAAATATGATATTCTATGGATTATCATGCAGGGAAAAATCGGTAAAACTAAAACGTTAATAGAAAAGAAATAACATCAATACAGGTCAACTAACTATAGACAACGAGACAATTGACAAAGATCACCACTTCAAATACCAGGGCGACTTTTATGAAACCGAAGAAATATCTGACTGCCAAGATCTCTCACTAGCCTTGAGGGTGAGAATGGCGCTTGTATCTTTTCGGTGTTGCTGATTGATCTTGAGAGGTGGACACTCCACACAAGGAAACATCTAGGAGATTGAAGACGTTTGAATCGTGGGTATACAGACGCGTGCTCAAAATTTCCTGGATAGATAGAAGGAACTATTAAATAGACCAAACTGGAATTCTTGGTCACATCATGCTTCATGCAAAATATGATATTCTATAGCTTATCATGCAGGAAAAAATCGTGTGACGTAGAATGCGTAACTGTATTTGGCCTATCAAGTCTCTAGTACCTAACACATATCACTTTGCTTCGGTATATATTTTTTCATCATGGCTTCAAAAATCCCAGCATATGCAGGGCCTCTACACATATATCTAGTAGCTATATGCATACACCAAATGGCGCTGCAAAATAAGCAATGCAGTTGGTATGGTTGCAGCATTGCTACTTTTGGAGGTGAGGTTAATTGAGATAAAAGTTGGTTAATTAAGATTAAGATTAAATTATCAGAGGTTAACTAAGAGATATTTTAGAAACATGCAAAAAATTACTTAGAAATCCACTTATTTTGTCTGCGGGTTGTCCCAATTTTGATTGACTAAAATTCCAATTTTCCATTGTTATTTTCTTAAAATCGAGTGGCAAGAGATAAAAAGGAATACTTTTAAAAGTAGATTAGTTTTTTTGTTTAATTTAACATGTCAATGTTGGTTGGTACTACTACTTCAAAATTGGTACTACAACTACAACTTTTGTATATTTCTTTTGTAAAAAAATCAAACAATTGCATTTTCCTCGTCTACCCCTGATAATTATAAATAATTATTGATAAAACTTTTATTTCATTTGACCGACATTGCACCTTTAATGGTTTACTAGTTTCGCATATGATCAAATTTGAATAAAATCCATTTTGTTAGCACCTTGTATAAATAGTAGCAAATATATATTTTTGCTCTTTAAGTAGTAACAATGGGATTATAAATATTAATATAATTAAAAATAATCGACCTAAAATTAATGATATTGTTATAATTATCATAATTTTTTCATAATTTTGCCTTTAATTTTTGAATACTCGGTATAAAAGTAGAACAACAAAATTAAAAATCAATATTTCTTACAAAATTATCATCATCAAATTCAGATACGCTTGTTCAAATTAAAAACCACTTTGAAGTCCCATTGTCATTTATTTTGCAGAAAGTTTAATACTGTTTTTCTTTACTCCGACTCCTTTTAAACGAATATCAAATTTTCGTCATCTAGCTTAAACACGGCTTAAATCTTAAAATATCACCAGGTATTTATGTAACGATTAACGCTTAAATTAGTTTCCCTCGTGTGAGATAACATTCCCCTTATCGGATTAACTTGAAATTTCTGGTATTTGATATTTTTCCATAAAAGTTTTCTTCCTCGAGATTATTTATTACTGAATTTTAAGTATGGAGACAGCAAAAAAAACTTAATCAGTAGCAAATATTTTAACAAAAAAAATGGTTAGCGCGTCACTTAGGCAAGCAGAATTTACCTTTATTTTGCGAAATCTTATAAGTCGCGGTTGTTTTTTAAAGCAACTAATACGAACCACCCTATAAGCTATCCTTAGACGGTAATATTTTGCATGTTTTGTTTGCTTATCTATGTTTTATTGCTGGGAAAAGGTTGTTACGATAATCAAAACTGCCTATTGAAGATTAAGATTTGAAAAATATCCTAGACTTTTTTAAATGCATAATTATTATTTTCAAATATCAACTACCTAATACAATTTCAATGTGAAAATAAATAAGAACTAAAAGTTCAGATTTTCACGAAATTATATATTAGTTCTTATTTATTGTGATAAATGGCTTTTCATCAAGTAAAAGCCACCTCAGTTCAATTTCAATGTGCTTATAGATACGTATATATAAAAAATCTCGAAGTGCGCAGCTCCCTCAAAATCGTTTTATTCATCGATAACTGACAAGAACCTTCTAAAATAACCTGTCACTTCGATGCCAAACCATCCTGTCACCAAAACTGCTCATAGTTTTCTTTTTCTCCTACTATCATTGAGCTTTATTTATTTTTAATTCTGTTATTTAAATACTTTTGCTTTAATTTAAAACGATATGAATAAAATTAGATATGTAAGAGTATATTTTTGTCATAGGCTCGCGACCATGCTGATTTACCTGCACCCGCTGCCAGAATCATGCCGTTCCAAACGGCACTCCCTGAAGTTCCTCAGAAAAAAGACGAAGAAAATCTAGTGTTAGCACCACCGCAAGAGTTGCCTGGAGAGATGGGCAAAGCCGTTCAACTACCGACTAATTTGACAGGTAATATAAAACTAGCATTTAGGATTTCAACTCCCCTATCAAAATATTCGTCTTCGAATAAAGGATGGGGAATGATAGATGTGCTATGATAGATGTGCTCCTCAAATCCTGACAGAAAAATAGTGTCCAATACCAGTTTTCAAAACTTGATGCTTCTAATTACTTCCTTTGTTTTTTTTTCTTTCTCCAAACACAATGGTGGTGATTTCAGTGCTAGTGTGATCTGTAATTGCTTAATATGGATCGTAGAATATTCAGCCCCTCTCCTGTTTAGTGGTCGGTAATATTACTTCTGGTTCCTTGAAGTGGATTTGGTTCGAAGTTCAAGGTAACTTGAATAACTTCGGGAATCGAACAAGAAAGACCACTGGACGTAAATTTATTCAATTGCAATCCCATTTCTGATTAGATCAGTTTTTGCGTTTTATTCGAATACTTAGTTGTCGTTGTCGCGAGTTTTGTGTCTTCGGCATCCCCCTCTGAAACATTCAATCGTTTCTCGTTAAAGTCATTTGGGGAAATTGCACCCCGAACAGGAGAGCAAAGTTGAAGGTGCGAAAGCGGCAAGTCGTCCAGTGGCGTGGGAGGGGAAAAGCAAGTTATTGGTAAAAGACGAAAAAAATTTTAGACGAAAAATTGATTCGTGTCGAAAAGTGACTTTATCGCAGATTTATGAGGTCATCTCTGAAGTTCATTTTAGATAGGATTCTGCAAAAGCTACTGAGGTTGAATTAATGCGCCGTGTCGTCAGTTACCAGTGACGGACACAGAAGGAATCCAGAAGATTTGTAAATAATCCTTTTGTACATTTTGTTTATGTATATTATTTGACTATTATAACGAGTTGAATTTATTTGCTTTGCTTGATTAATGCGATAGGATATTTTTATATTCACCAACCTCACTATACAGGGTGTTTTCTAATTGAATATTAAGGGGGCGATTTTTGGGTTCATTTTAAAAGAAAACTTCATATGAACATATGTCCTAAACGTCTTAACTTTTGCGATACCGGGTGGTAAAGTTTTCAAAAAAAAAAATATATTTTTTTAATATCTGTAATACCATTTCAGATATTTTAATTAAATTTGGTACACATGTACTATGTATGAAGAGGCATTATTTCACCTGTCTATTTTGGCAGACCTTGATGGTACGCCACTGATTTTTCTTAAACTGAAAATAATTCTTACAACTTCCAGTCATTTCTAAAGAAATTTAATTTCTTTTTTTTTCAATCCGATATACGGTTTTCGCTTAAAAAAAATAGAAACTTCTCTGCATGGTCATAACAATATCGTTAATAAAATTAGTTTATTTTTAAGTGAAAATTTAATTAATTAGGTCTCCACTGCGCTGGTTAAATCGAGAACTTTTGTTGTGAAAAATAAAATATCTATCTAAAACAAAATCTCTAGTTATAATTACCAAGAAGTCTTCCTCAGAAAAAAAAACATGATACTGTTCTCTTTACTTTTACAGTGTTAACGAAATAACATAATATCGTAACAACAGATAAATAATAAACGGTTCTAATTAAAAAAATTCACTACCCACACCTATTTTTAGCAAAATAGTCTGATAATAAATTAATAACAAACTTTTTGAAAAAATGTCGAACATAGAAACCAGATAAGTTGTTGAAAGTGTCCTTCACCTACACGCGCTTTAGTTCTTTCTCATAAGGCCGCGCACTCTTTGAAGTGTACCTCCAGTACCTTCAGCTATTCTATAGTGTCAACTGGGGTGCGATAACTATTTAAATCTGGGACCTAGGGACCATGGTTGAGGTCCGCGGCGACCAACTCATCTGTTATTAAATGTGTGATTTAAATATTCTCTTACTGCAACACTAACCGCATTCATAATTAAATATGGTACTTTTTCTAGCAATATTGCCAAATCCTCTTCTAAAAACCGGCGATAATTATGTCCATTTACCGAAAATTGTTGTTGATGTATACATTTTGCAACTGTTTTTATTTATTTATGTATTTATTTTTTTAAACGTAAACCGTACATCGGATTGAAGGAAATCTAGAAATTAAAATTCTTTAGAAATTATTGGAGATTGTAAGAATAATTTTTATTTTAAGAGAAATCGGTGGCCTAGTATCAATGTCTGCCAAATGTGAAATTTTGTACGCCCGCCACTGGTGTATTTAAAAATAATTGTATTACACTAAACAATGCCTCTCGATATATAGTACTTGCGTGCCAAATTTCATAAAAATATATAAAGCTATAAAAAAAAATTCAAAAACTTTACTATCTTGTATCTCAAAAGTTACATTTAGGACATATATTTTCTTTTTAAAATGGGCCTCAAAATTGCTCTTTTAATTATTGATATTCAATTCGCTGTATATCTAATATTTTTTCCGTATTATATAGTCGATGTACCATCGGCCACTCGTCACTCAATTTTAATTACCTTCTGCTCACCTTGATTCTCGTTTCGATAAAAATAAGATGCTTCTTGTAGTCATCTTTTTTTATAGTCTTGGTAATGGTGCTATCGACATTGGATCGTCATTCTGTGAAACCGCTTTGCTCTTCTACTGTGTGCAAGTACCTTTCCAAGGGCACCGTAATAATGCTTCCATACCTGCCAACCAATGGTCACTGTTGCACTGATACTTCTATAGTTCTATCATTTTTTGACTCCTTCTTATGTGTTAATATTAAAATATCTATTAGTATATTTAAGGCAGGTCTACTGTATTACCTTCCGGATCTGAGAATCTTCAATTTCCCATTTTTCTCAGCACCTACTTTATTTCCTCTATCGTTATTTCTTATTATTTCTTATTAGCCGAAACCGCGGTTACTTTTATTTCAGTTCAATCAGAAGCGAATAATATATTGGAAAACACTATATCCGGAGGTTGATGCACGCTACTGGAGCTCGTGAAAACTTCCTCGACGAAACCAAATACGTTTTCGGTGGGAAAAGAATCGTTTGTTCCGTTCTCCCGCCATTTTCCCTCTGCGGCGTTCCGCGTGTGTGTGGGGTAAAGTTAGTCGTAGTATTCCTCTGGGAAGCCCCGCGTGAGAAATGGATCCGCAACGCGCGTAGTGGAAAGGGGCCGACGTATGTGTATGTGTGTGTGTGTGTGTGTGTGTGTGCGGGCACTATGTAAAATTTTCAGAACGTTGCCCTGGATGCGCTCTCTAGAAGTCGAGATCCGATACCTACGGGAATTGACGCCCACCCGTCTCCCTCTGCACGCTAGGGGGTTGAAGGTGCATTAATAAACAATGTCCGGATGAAATTGCCGTGTGTTCGACCAGAACGTCGTGGGTCGCACGATTTAATTTGAACATGGCAGTCAAATTAGAAATAAATATCATTTGGGACTTCTGTATCCCATGACCGGTTAAACACAGAAGTTCGAATGACATGACTGATATGTCGAGACTGTGGTTTTATTTTTCTCATGAGGTCTGAATGGACTCGCCATCTTTTCTGCTGACTTGGGAAATGGTAATTTCTTCATTTTCGACTTTATGTACGTCTCACAGTTTTTGACCATGTTACTTTCAATCTCCGTGCTACCATAGTCCACAGGAATATCTTTCATTGCCTCAAGGTGTATATGATCTAACCTCTCATGCCATGTTGTAAGAGAGACTCCATCTAACTTCTTTTGCATTTTTTGAAGTGTACCATCAAAGTTTTCTGTTGAAGTTACCTTCACGAGTGACAACTGCCTTCCCATCATTGATGACGATTTCACAGTTCTTATTTTCAAGTCTTATAAATCATAGAAATGATGTTATCCTTCAGCGAGGTAGAGTACCCCGGTCAACAGCACAGTACCGTCACCACATTCATTTGAGATTTTCATGCGCACAGTTCCAATACCTTCTGTATTTATTGGGTTTCCATCACCTTACCTCATATTTCCAGGCTCTCTTCTCAAGGTTTCAAATAGACTCTCATCGAACATCATGTGATCTGTCGCCCCCGAGCATGAACATGTTTGTTAAAACTGCTGCTTTCTTTTCGTTTTTCTGCATTAATGATGACGCAGTACTTTTCATCATTTGTGAAACCTACCTGGAACAATTTTTCTTCTGCGTCTCCAACTTGCTACTTAGGGCAGTGCCAGCTACATTAGAATCATCTTTCATTGGTTTTTCTTCCAACAGTCCTTTTGCTTTCACAGTTTTCAGTTTACAGTTCACAATTCTCTCCAGACCCCTTATTTTGCCATAGGAAGACCAATGAGAACAATTAAAACAAGGGTTTGGTCTGACAGCTCAATACCAACTTGTGAAATTTTGCGATAATTACCTACCGATGTAATCCTGTACATTGCACTCTTCATCCTTCGTTGTGTTGAACAACTCAATATCTTCCATGCATCCTTCACTCGGGTACAGTCTCCATTGTCATTTAAGTAACTATCATTGACCAAAAAATGCGAAAGCCCTCGAATTTTGTGATTTCTGCGTTTCCGTAAGGACGGCTTTTGCAAAAAAACCAGGCTCGATAGCTTCCCAACATCCCTTCTGGATGAGTCTTCACTCTTGTCGACCACGCGAAATAGTTATCCTGTGTCAGTTTGGGGAACTTAATTTCCATATCCCCGAAAACCGACGCCATACTTTTACTATTTTGCAAAAGTTCGAAACAGTTCTCACGTTCTCTAATTGGCTGCCATTACCATCATTGACATAGGTACCACACCAAATTCAACTCGTATTACATTACATATGTCTCATAACCTTTGTCAAACATGCATGGTCACAGAGCAGTGGTAATTTTTCATATGCATACTGTGAATGATTGATCATTCATATTAACAATAAATTGGATTTGCATCTAGGACCGACTTCATATACAGACTGTTTCTCAAAAAGACGTGCAGGTTGATGACGTCAAAGCAAGAGGAAAACTTGCATCAGCCTGTTAAAGTTGAATTGTTATTTTTGTTTTTCGATTATTGATTATTAATTATTATTATTTTTTTATTGATTTTTACAAAACTTCTCGATTCCTCCTGCGTCGGTTTTTGCTTAGTCGAAATTGCTGACGTTTCGCCAATCATCCTGTTGGCTTCTTCAGAGCTTGACTGAAAAAAAAACTGTTTCAGTTTTTTTCAGGTGTTGGTCGACACTATTGTAGAACCGAGGATATATCTCATTAATTATAACTTGCGGTGCAACAATTATTTCAAATTATAGAGCTATAGCACTCCTATCAGAAAAATTGTACCACTTATGTAAAAAACGACTCTAATGTTTATATGCTCTCAAGAAACTCAGATATTCAGTACAATTTAAGACCTAACCTTAACATAAAGAGGTACATCGACTGTCTCTTACATTAAATAGTCTATTTATTTTGACTGCAAAAATTGATAATAAATTGCCTTATCTAACATTATTAATTTTAATTTTTATTTTTATTAATTAAATAGTTATTATTATAATATAATACCTTTATTACAGCCTTAAAAATTTGGACTTAGGTGCGTCAAAACGTCTTGCTTATCTTATTATAATATAGTAAAGACTCACGCGTTTCTAAGAAATGAGTAAAAATAAAACTATAATTTGTATCTGTCTGTTTAAAACCACATGCTGATATCTCCCTATTACATTACTATTTTGTTTTTTTAAGGCTTGTGTAATGTCTGATAGGGATTTCTTGTGTTAGAAATGTAATTCCTTATAAACAATAATAATATTAATCATATTTCACGCCAATTCTCCGCAGAATTAAGAATTGTTTTTGTTACGATAGGTCTGCATAACTGTAATTGTTGTCTTTTACGTTATAGGCGACGTAAAAAAAATGGTGGACGATGGGTGGATGAAAAACGCTTTCAATCAATATGCCAGCGACATGATTAGCGTACATAGGAGTTTACCCGATCCGAGAGACGAATGGTAAGCTTTATTCCTCTTTTTCAGTACAGAATGGTCCGGATATACGTGCTTTTCGTTTAAGTTACGCTATAGGATTGTAAATGACGAAAAGTTGAATTGGCACCAGTCAGATTAAATAAATGCATATCGGGAAATTTTAAATCTCAATTGACTGTCATATTTTTGTAAATTTATAATTTTCTGGTGGTCAAAAAAAAAACAAAATGATCATTTCTATTAAATATTTTTAAAAAATGACAATATACTTATATTTGACAATGATAATTAACCCCAACATCTAGTAAGTAGGAATCTGTACAGTGATGAATAGGCTTTTTTTTATTGTAAGAAATTGGTTTAAAAAAAGCAAACGTAATTTAATTGGACAGGAATATACGATAGTTCAGGATCATACATTTTGTATTTCCAATTTTTGGATATATTATATTATAGGGATGTGTATTGGGGGTATGGGGTGCAAAATCTCTATACCGCCGACATCCAAATAAGTCCAAATTCGTTTTATTTCCCGGTCGGAAAAGCCCTAAAACGACTTCACAATTGAGTCATCGCTCCCCTCCCCCCGCCCTCAACCCCCTTCCACCGCTCACCCAATAAAATCCGGAGCGAATAAAAACCGAATTTACGACGAGCCGCGTCTTCCGGGTACGGTGAGGACTCAGGCGCGTCTCGCCCACGGGGTAGAAAAATTAACGACAAACGAAGTATTCTTTAATTAAGGAAATTGTCTCGCGACGCTCGCATCCTTCCTTATATTTTCATTTTTACGATTTTCTTTGTTTTTCTCGGCCGTCCCGTAGCCGATTTTTTTGAGCCCGTAACGGGACTCCGGGACGACAAGGCGTATCCGGGGCGACCAAAGACGTTCGGAATTGACTTCTACTTTCGATATAAAGATGAAGTCGTTACAAAAGTACGTCCGGAAATACTTTGTTTTCAAGATACCGAACAATATTTTTTTTAATCCCGGATTTTTGAATGTATTTTCCTATTAAGCAAACACATTTTTTTCTGTCTTAAAATCACGCAGAGAAACGTCTTCCAAAAATAGTCAAGTTTATATATGGCATGTCAAGTATTTTTGTTCTTAATTTGAAAAAGGCTACAATTTCTTCCATATTTTCCATAAATTTAAACAAATTCTTAGCGGATCTCATGGAAATACGAGTTTGGACAAAATCCTTCAGGAGAGGAAGATAGACCCACAATTTGAAAATTTATCTTACTCCATCAGAAAAATTTCCCAATAATTTCATATAAATTTCGTAATATTATTCATAGTGGAAAGTAATAAAAAATGGAAATACTAAAAATAATAAAAATAAATAATAAAAAATAAGAAATAATAAAAAATGACTTGCAAGATAGTATTTTTTATGTGCAGCCAAATATTTCTCCTTACCATTCCTATTTTGTTAGTTCTCTTGCAAAGTCGACAACATTTTCAAATAATTTCACTTACATTCAAGATAATACGCTATACGATATTCAATTTTATTTATTTTATTATAAAGTCAAATAGAATGTTATTATATTTTTGATTTTTCAAAATTTTTATAATTTTATTGCGCAAAGTTTACTTACGCCGATGGTAAATTTGAGCGGAACTATACTAAATTTCCCGTTTTAGTGCTCTGAACTTTTCTAAAATAGCCTATCTGTCATTAATAAAAATGCTTATAATTGTTTTGATTGTCGTTGTTGTTGCACCACTTATCGCCCAAATCAAGTTCACCGCCCGCCCGTAACCAGGCAAACAAATTCCGATTCCTGAGGGAATCGTCTTTCGACTTCAGATGGAGTGTCTATTTACGTTTAAGCGCTTAAATACGATTTAGGTATAATTTATTTTTGCTTATCATTGTTTCCATCGTTCTTTTTTTTTTCATTTCCTCTCGGGATAATGGTATATTCCTCTGCGATTTTTTGTTTAAACAAGAATAAAGAAAGAATAAAATAAAGAAAAAAACTGATCACAGTTCATTTTTATCGAACGACTCTACGAACTAAGGTCCCGCAAATACAAAAACTTTTTAAAAGAATTATTCTTTTTAAGTAAGGTACTAGTTCACAATCTCCTGCTAAATATACAGATTTATATTCATTCTAAGTTTCACGGAATACTAGGTTTTCAAAGAGTTTCAAACTTCAAAAGTATTGGAGACTTTTTTTTTTAAATTAAACCCCCCTTCATATTATAGCAAAAGAAATATGAGTTTCAATTCCAATAATGTTGAAAATTAATTACAACGATAACTATACAATATACCTAAAGATAACATAAAACATAACAATATAAGTTCCAATATGTATTTTGATGGATATGGATTAAATCATAACGTTGGGCAAATGTTCATTTGGACCAAACAATACCACAACGATCTTCTTATTATTATTAATAGGTCTAGAACCTGTTTAATTCAGAGCGTCCTTCCACCTCTTTCGACTTCTGTTCTTAAATGGACGTTGTCGTGAATATTCCTCATCAACCGGTCTCTATTCATTCTTAATACTTGCGCACTCTACTCTGCTCCCCTCCTTTGAACCCATAAAGTAACTCTCTGATTCTTGCACTTATCCTTGATATCTTTATTCTTAATTTTGTCCATCATTATTTTTGTTATTTCGTAAACCTGTTTTTGTCGTGTTAGCTCTTGTTTGGGCCGCGCTATGCTCTTAGAAATGCGGACGTGCTCGACCACACCGATAACGAGCCAAATTTCAAAAATCACAAAAAACAATTCCACTGCAGTAAAATGAGAGAAAACTAATGTCCTGAACAAATTCTTTAATATATTAAATAAGCAATGGGAGTGTTTTCCAAAACATCGAATCCGATAATCTGTTCTTGTTAGATGTAAATAATGTTTTGTACAATCTGCATAATATGGTTTATTAGTGTACTTTCCTGAAAATTTGACTTACATTAAAATTTTAATACTTCTTTATAGTGTTGACCACTTTTTAATTGACCGGTCAATTGACCGCTTTTGAATTGACTAGTCAAAAAATGTTATCTATCATTATTTAATGATTATATATATTTTATGTTTTCACTTCCAAAAAAAAATTGACCAGTCAATTCCACAATATTACTTCTTAAGTATTAAATAAATTTAAATTAAGTTATATTTTGAACAAATTAGAATTATTTATTAAAGCTTAAACCAAATTTTATCCCCCCATTTATCTTACAATTGTGCCGTAGAACCTGAATATACCAAAAAATCGAAAAATTTTACCAACCTGGGGTTGAATTAATCTGCTTTTGGTTTCGATTTAAGTTTAATAATTTTTAAAACGGCACAAGCGCCAGATACGACGCGAACGATTTTTGAATAATAATTTAGCATTATTCCCGGAACGTACGGTACAGTCACGAGACGAAGAGACAGACGTGTCCGGGTTATTTACAGCGACCAGGTGTTCGTTTTAATCTGCGAAAATAATTTACGGCACCGTCGGAGAAAACTTTTCGACTAATCCGCGCGCGAACGGAAAGTTAAAATCCGTTTTTTATTTTCATTTATAAACATAAATTTTCATCCCGTGGCCCGAACGAGCGAACGCAGCAGGACGATAATCGTGTACGTACATGCCTCCGGATCTCTTTTTCGTCCTCCGCTTTTTTTCGTTATGTTTAATTTTTTGGGTCTGCGGTTAACCGTGTCTCCCCCGCGTGGGCGATTCTTTTATCTCAATCGTGAAAAGCAAATTGAGCAACTGTGTGAAGGGGGAGGGATCGAAAATTATTTTATAATATAAATATTTTAATATTAAAATCTCTGCTGCTATAATACACTTTGAAATTAATATGTATAGGGTCTCCTTTCTAAAGGATGTAGGCGGTCGCCGTGTATATAAAAATACACAAATATATATTTTAAAGTATTGAAGTATTTTTTTAAGCCGTAATTTTAAGTCCTGTTAAAGGATTCAAAACATAACTGTTAAACTATTATTTATTAAAATATTACAATTAAACCAATAAATTCTACAGGAACATGTCTTCTAAATAAATAAATAAATAAGTTTTTATTAAAGAGAAAGAGAAAGAAAAAAAAGCATTAACACATTTATAGCGTTCAAATTTTAACTAATTAAATTCTTTATTTCAACACAGATTTATCACTATTTCAAAAAAAAGGGTTTAAATAGATTCAACAATCAGTTAAATCAGAAAGTATGTTAGATAACACTCAGGCAATCCCCCAAACCATAACAGTAACATTTGCATAAAAATCCATTGCCACTATTATTGCTTTCTCAATAGAAACTCTTTTAATTTGTATATAAATTTATTTGTATTTACCATTTTAAAATTTTGTGTACAGGGTAATCGCCTGAAACACAAAGCATCTAGAGAACATTGCAGTCTTATGTTGCGGTAGTACAAACTAAACCTAGTTGGCCTTAAATAAATATTAGAGTGACGCCTAAATTTCAGATCAGAAATAATTTTATGAGCAACATTCCAGACTTCATGAATAAACATTTGTCCTCTTTTATTTTATAAGCTATAGTTTCGAATTTTCTAATACCATGAATTAAACGATAACATGACTTTTGTGTTTTTTGAATTCTATTTTTGTCGATTTGTGTCAAGCAAGATCTCTATAGGAAGTCGCAAGAGTTAAACTGCGAGAGCAAAAGAGATTCACATAATAATTTTCTAGTTTTTTGATCCAAAATTTACCGGTTGCAATAAATTGGCCTTAAATTGGAGTAGTAAATATTTAAAATGTCCTCTAAAGCGCAAATTAGTATCAATTGTTACCCCTATATTTTTCGTATAATCAGTAAATATTAGTTTAGTATTGTTTATTTTTATAATTGAATTATCCTTAAGAAACACTTTCTTGTATTTGTTACTAAAACATAAAAGTTTTGACTCATTTGAGTTTAATAGCAAATTGTGCTCTAAAGAAAGCTGTTTAATTATTTCAAGGTCATCATTAATATGCAGGCATGCATGATCAAACATGTCTACTAGAGTATAT